TCTCTTCTATTTCTCTTCTTCCCCTCTGGTTCTTCTTCTTTCTGGTTCTGGTTCTGATTCTTTTTTTTTTTTTGCTTCTGTTTTTTCTGCTTCTGCTTCTTTAATGATGAATATTGCTGATGTTGATGTTGAATGTTGCTGCTTCTATTTTTTTTGCTCTTGTTTTTTTGTTTTTTGCTTCTGTTTTTTCTGCTTCTACTTGTTTAATGCTGCTTCTGTTTTTTCTGTTTAATGTTGCTGCTCCTGTTCCTTTAATTCTGTTTTTTTTGCTTCTATTTTTTGGTTCTGGTTTTCTAATGCTACTTCTTTGTAAGTTTGATTTTCTTATGATTTTGATTTGTTGATAGTGCTATAATGCTGAATGCTGATAGTGGCATAGTGCTGATTTTGTTAAATGCTGATGTGCTGATTTTTTGCTGAAGTTAAATGTTTAAGTTATGACTGTTATGGTTCTGGTTTTCTAATGCTGCTTCTTTGTAAGTCTGATTTTCTAATGATTCTGATTTGCTAATAGTGCTGTAATGTTGAATGCTGATAGTGGCATAGTGTTGATTTTGCTAAATGCTGATGTGCTGATTTTTTTGCTGAAGTTCAATGTTTAAGTTATGACTGTTAGGGTTCTGGTTTTCTAATGCTACTTCTTTGTAAGTCAGAAAAGACTGTTATTAAGATTTGAGATATTATTAGTATTTGTTTTAATTTAAATATTTATGGTTTTACTTACTTATATATATTTAGTATATATAAAATTAGAACTTAGATGTTTAGAAGTAATTAAACTAAAATATATATATTTTTTTAACTGTTCGTTTCGTTTCGGTAAAGCGTTTTGTTTTGCTTCTTGCCTGAGCGTTAGGAGCATTGGTCGCTTTGGTTTGCTTTATGCCTTAAATAACACTGAGGTAAAGAGTCTAAATTATCTGATATACCAGGATCAGAAGGCGGTAAGAAAAACGGTACGAGCACCTCAGTCGATGGGCGAGGATGCCGAGAGTATACACGAAGAGGTAAAGTAGATGGTAACACAGTAAACAGTAGAATATCTGACGATGAGGGAAGAAATGGTGGTAAAAGAGACGATCCAAAGTCCAAATTCAAAGGCTGAGCAGGTGTCAAAAAATATGGAACAGATTCTTTAAACGTGACATAGACACTAGTAAAATATCGTTGCAGGGAAGGACTATAACAATGATACCCTTTCTGTGTGCGGGAGTATCCAAGAAATACACATTTGATAGTCCGAGGGTCAAGTTTATCAAACTCAGGGCCTAAGTTGTGAATATAACAGACACATAAAAAAACCTTGAAGAGTTAAGACAAAAAGGGTTTACTAGGGAAATTGACAGAATATAGACTTTGTCCATTTAACATAGAGGATGACATACGATTAATAAGATGACAAGCAGTAAGAAGAACATCATTTCAAAAACATCGGGGAATATTTATCTGAAATAACAGTGCACAAGTGATTTTTTACAAATGGCGGTTCTTGCGTTCAGTAATACGATTCTGTGGAGAGGTGTAGGCACAGGAAGTCTGATGAATAATGTAAGTTTTATTAAGATAAGCTGAAAAAGGATCATATTCATATTCAGGAGCATTATTAGAACGTAAAATACATATATGACAAGCATACTAAGTTTTATTTCCTTGTGAAATGTCTCAAATATAGAGAATAATTTAGAATGAGCTTTCATAAAAAACAACCAGGTCATACGAGAATAATCATTTACAAATGACATAAAATAAGGATATTTATTAGATGAAATATTTTTTATTAGACACCATATATCAGAATGTATCAACTTAAATGGACTAGACACATGATTATTGATTCTAGACTGAAAGGACATGCGGTGATGCTTACTAAGTTGACAAACTTCACAAGATAAAGACGGCACATAACTAAGATTGAAAACTTGGCGTTTCAGATTCTAGAGAGAGGGATATCCAAGACGACAATGCCATTGAAAAGGAGACAACGAGGTCTATAGAGCTCGAGTAGGTGAATCAAAGTCAAAGTAATACAGGCCACCAGCTTCATGTCTCGTACCAATCTTCCTCTTCGTCTTGAGATCCTGAAATACACAATAAGAGGGATAAAAAGTCACGGAACAATTGAGAGAATGAGTAATTTTGCTAATGGAAAGTAAACTAAAAGAAAACTGAGGAACAAATAACACGGAGGATAGGGACATACTAGGACTCAAGTGAGTAGTCCCTAAATCTGAAACTTTAGAGCATGTACCTTTAGCAAGAGTAACACTATGTGTGGAAGTAGCAGACTGAAAAGTAGAAAAACACCAGACGCACCAGTCATGTGGTTAGAAAGGCCAGAGTCTGATTTAGGGACTGCGAGTGGAGGACAATAAACAAGTGGAAACGGTACTTGACTGGGCAAAAGTAGTAGTGGAGGAAGATGGAACAACTTGTTGCTAGGATAGAAATTGAGCATACTCTTCTCGTGTAATAGTAATCGACTTAGAGTTTGGTGGAGCTGACCGAGGTATGGAAGCAACAACCGAGGTGTCATCTTGATAGAAAACCTGATTAGCAGCATCAAAAGGTTTTCCATGTAATTTCAACAGTGTGTTCTCCACGACCACAGTGAGTACAAGAACGAGGTCTACTACGGCCTCCACAACCACCCGTACGACCTCCTGTACAACCGCACCGACCACCACGATCACCACGTTCACTTCGATGACCATCATTATGACTACTAGGAACCACAAGAGTTGAGCGATCAGTGGAGGCACCATAGACAAAGTAGCACACTATAAATTAGAGAAAACCTCAAGTAATGAGGGAAGACTAGAACTATCCAAAATCTGAGAACGAATAATTTCATATTCAGGTTTCAATCTTACAAAAAATTTAACAACCAGAAGTATTGGTTGCACACCTCATAAAGCACGGGTAAAATTACTTGTATCAGAATATATAGTGGCCAAGTGATCCCATATCTCTTTTGACAGTGTTAAGATAGAGCAGAACAGAGCTAATATTAGGCTCAATGCTATTCAACAGTAAAGAGATAATCTGAGCGTCCTCTTGTTCCCACTGATCGTACCCAGAAGTATCTTCCTTGGTTTTAGGATTAACGAAATATTTCTTAAAACTTTTGTCTCGAAGAAAGACTTGAACGGAGCAGAATCATAAAGCATAATTGGTCCCATTGAGTTTAACGGAAGTCATGGGACTATTAATAAGAACCGGAGAAGTAAAGGTCGGTGGCAAAGATGGAACAAGGGAGTTAGCATCTTGCTTGGGTTTCATAGCAGTAAAATAAATAGCAAAAGGAAATCACTAGATCACTGAATCGGGCAAGAATCAGCTACTGTACTACTGAACTGAAGAAGAAAAGGTTGCTGGATCACTGAACCGAGCTGGAAAATCTAGCTGGATTGTTGAACCGAACAAGAATCAGCTTCTGCACTATTGAATTGGAAAAGAAAAGGTTGCTGGATCACTGAATCGGACTGGAGAACGTAGCTGGATCGTTGAACCGGACAGGTTGGGCTCGTCGAACCACTGAACCGATGTAAAAATGATTGAACCAGTGCAGAACTAGTTGAACTGGATAGCAGAAACTAGCTGGATCACTGAACTGGAGCAACAACTGAAGGAACTAGTTTAAACTGGTGAAAAACTACCTAAGTCAGATTAGAGTGGATCAAACCAGGGTTGAACCGGGACTGAGCCTGACTTGAACCAGTTTGGTTTGAAGGCTACTGGATCTGGGTTGGGCTTGAGAATAGTTTATGCCCGTGGACTTGGATCTGTTACCCAAACCCTCAAACTGACCCACTCGAACTGGGTCATCTTCACTGATTAGGGTATCAACCAAACTCTATTCCATCCTTTACTGTCGACTACGCCAAGAGAACACCACCATAGACGGTGCCAAAACTAGATGCCACCAGCATTAGCCACACCACCACAAAGCAAAACCAGATGCCACCAACATCTCCAACGTCGATTGCGCCAAGGGAACAACCACCATAGTCGGTGCCAAAATTAGACACCACCAACGTCAGCCACACACACCGTCAACCAGACGCCAACCAACATCAGCCACACACCGACATGAAATAGATATGCCACCAACGCCAGCCACAACGTCTCACACCCGACCAGCGGTTGCCACCACCATGGCAGCAACACCACACGGGATGGGTCACAAATAGTCTGGGTTAATATTTGTATTTAGAATTTTTACGCTCTGATACCATGTTAAGTTGAAAGAATTAACATAATATTAGAGAGAAACAGAGAGATGTCAAAAACTTAACCTATCTCTGACACACCACTTGTATTTGTAGTTAACTTACAATAATAAAAAAAACGAATACACCCTCTTATATTTACACATAATACCCTAATACTCTTAACAGTTTACACATAATACCCTAATACTCTTAACAATATACAAGGTTATATTGGAATCATTGTTACCCTCCCTCGGCCAGCCATGAACTTTTGGTGTCATCTTTTTAAAATGCATTTGTACCTGCAGAAATATTTGATAATTTTATATTGCTCATGACTTGGTGAACTATCTCCACCAGAAAAAGCAAGGGCATTTAAGCTTGACATGAACAAGGTGTAAAATCAATATAGCTGAAGTTTCTTGGAGCGGGTGTCAGGAAAATGTGGGTTTAGCCCTCAATAGATATCTTATGGGTCATGCTGGTTTTCTATTCAGCTCTACTTAATGGTTGCAGCTTAGGTTTCTTCCAGCCTCTCCTGGGTCTTTGCCCAGGTGAAACTTTACTGCCTATTTACATACAGAGGCTATTTTGCTATCCTTATCTGGGCTGGATCAGTCAGTTATGAAGAGTTATACAGCAATGACAAGGGGTCTTGGAGATTTGACATGTATCTTATGTGAATGATACTTTTATATTCTTCAAGTGCACAAATGAGACTATGTGGTGCTTAAAAGGGGTCCTTAAAGCTTATTACATGCTTTTGGGCGATAAATTAATCTTGTTAACTTAAGAGTTTGATTCCCTGAGCATATATCTTGGTATGCCAATGAAAATCCTAGATCTGGGAGGGGAGATTGAAGATATAACAAGTGTGAAGGTTAGATCTCTCCTAAAACTGGCTATGCTCCTAATGCTAGCCCTAGCTGTGATTGCAAGTAGTTTCAATTGGAGAAGGGTGGTTGGTGCTTTTCTGTCTATGATGATACTATCGAGAGGAGCAGGAAGTTTTGGTTTGATTGATTTGTTGCTTCTAAGGAAGCTGTAGAAGAATGGACTGCAAGGGCACGGGAGATTGCAGTTGGTGCTGGGTATCTGAACACCTAGATTTGTTGCTCCTTTCTGACTGCTGTCGATGCAGAGGAAATTAGGGGTCTGATGGAAGGTAGCAGAAGCTTTGGTGATGTTTTTTTGTATGCTTGACACCAAGGCTTTCAGGGTAAGATGTTCTGGTATCCCAGCAGGTGAAACGGAATCTGGATCTCTTGGACCCTGCCAGGGTGTTCCCGTGCTATGTTTTCACGCAAGTTAGCATAATTTCTTGATCAATCCAAGATTATAAGATATTTGTTTCTCCCGGTTGCGACCAGAGAGTCTAGTAAAATGAGCAGAAATTGTCAGTGACTGCATTTTGTTTTAAGAGCAGCAAGTTTTTTCCGCCAATGCTAATTCTGACCAACAATGCCAGCCTTTTGATGTTAACCTGTTGGGCATACATCCAGCAAACACCAACCATGAGAACTCATGCCTAAGATCCCCTCATGAGAGGCAAAGAAGGTAAATACTAAGCTGCACTAAGCTATGTCACTCCGTGCATTTCCATACTTTTAATGAATTCTGGACTGGTAAACCTCATGTGGGCAAGGTTGATTTGTGAATTGTGAACTTTGGCATATTTTAGAATGTGTGAATCAGTAAACAAGAAGAAGTATAGAAAGTTCTCATGATAACGCCTTCAATGAAACATAGGGGCATCTCACATGATTACAAGCACAAACTTTGTTACTTTATGCCGTTAAAATAATCCTTCTACCGATGATTTACCTATGCTTGATTTTTTGAATGGTTATTTCTTGAAAAATGTAAATTTGTGTTTTTCTCTTCATTATATTAACTTTGAGTTGTAACAAAGGTTAGAGCTGAGTGGTGGCAAGCAGTCATCCATACCAAAATTATCATTTTTGCATGTTCGGGGATTCATTTGCCAAGGTTCTCCCAGAAATGAATTTTCTAAATGGTACCTTGAGTGGTTTCTTTTTCTTTCTTATTTCCCTATTATTTCCCCATTCCAGTGAGTGTACTGATGAGGAATCAGAGTTGTCCACCATGACAATGCCTTCTCTACTGCGAGCTCTGAAACCAGGCAAGGGTGAGTTTGAGATAGTTAATCGGTGCTGAAGAAGAGTAGTCTGTGTGATGGGCCTAGCTTTTGATGCCTTCCAGATCTGCCTTCACTTTGCTTTGAGAAGAGCTCAAGTGAGAAGCGATGAAGTCCATGACCAATCATTTGCCATCCTTGTTTAGCGAATTACAGATTTGTCTTCGCCCGCGCTTTATACAACCTGCTGCATATGGACTGTTGTGTACGAGTCCAATCTGTATCTTGTACGACATTTGTATTTGGAAATCTTTATAATTTTTTAAGTGGTCATTGCAATTTGGATACTCTAGTTCATTACTAGGCATTACCGATTTGGGTAGGGCTTACACATGCATATGCAATGTGTATTATGATATGATCCATGCGTTGGTTATGGACTAGTTCAAAATGGATTGGGTGCAAAGTAAGTCCAACAAACTTTAACATGTTTAGTAAACGTGTTATAATGGATTGGATTACAATGGATTCAGTCAAACTCGTTAATTCGTAAAATAATTAAAATTCTTGATATAAGTACATATTAATAAACCAAATAAAACATAAACTAATGTACAAAAAAAGTATAAACAAGCTAACAGAACAAAAGAACATTCCTTAATACATTAAAAATATACACAAAAATACACACACACACACACACACACACACACATTATACTACACTAAAAATATACATGCAAACACTAACATCCCAAAACAAGCATAACAATACAACCGAAAATGTACACATACACACCAATACCAAAAAAATAAATTTAGTAACACCAAACTTCACACATACACCCTTAGTGAAGGTATTGTGGGGTTTGCAAGCGGTCTAGGTCAAATTACAATTCTACATCAAGACCATTTGATGCATTTTCAAGCTTGAGACAAAGGTAATGATCTTAGAGACTAGCTTAAATTTGTCGTCAATGTATATGTAGATCTATAAGTCATTTGTGATTAGTAGTATATTTGTTTTGCATTCACAATCAGTGATTCCGTTGTATAGTGATTTATCTAATTGTTTCTTTTATGAAACTCTCATAGTTCTTCACCCAAGTTGCGTAAGAACTCTGGCTTTTTATACATAGAAAGGAATGGTGCTATTTTGGTTCTAATAAATCGTTGATAGAAGAGTGAAAGTAAGGTAGAAAAAATGACTACAAAATTCTCTAGTAATAATGAATTTGTTAAAAATGCTTTGAAAATTGAATTTTCATATGTAGAAAATGTTCTACAAAATTGGCATTTGCCCGAAATTAAATCTAATAAGGTTTATAATATTGGATATTTTGATTTTAAATCAAATTTGTTAATTAAAACAATTGAACAAACAATTCATTTAGAAAATTCTATGGAAACTTTACAATCGTTTAGTAATCGGGAAATTACTAAATATAAAGAAAATATCAATATATTCACATATGTTTTGTGCATGTGGCATTACAACCTCTAACCTTATTAGGCACCAATACAAGTTTTATTTTAGTATTAAGAGATGCTAGAAAGTCTTGATTTTCAAGAATCTCTTATGGGCGTGTATTGGAGTCTAGTCTTAGCACTGGTATTTATTTTAATTGTTTTTCAAATTTATTAGTATCTTTAACTGATAGAAATATAATGGAAGTCTTAACTTTGAATATCCAAACTTTTGCCTATAATATGGATGTAACTGAACCAGTCAATATAGCTTATAGAGTTCATTATAAAGTAAAGACTTCAACCCCAAATTCTAAGTATTACAATAAACAAGGTACTACAATTTTAATTGAGTCAAATTATTGAAAAAATAGAATTACTCAAAATAGAGCTATTCAATGGGAAGATATCATTTTTTCGAAATCAGGAATTTACAATCTATAGTTCCTCATCAACCTATAATTAATAGGGAATTCAATCAAATATCTCAAACCCCAGAAGGGGATGTACAAATTCAATTTGCTTCGGACCAATCTCCAAATTAAAAATTGAAGGATTATCCAGATGTTCTTCAATCCAGAGTTTTGATAAACCAAGATCAAACTCCTCTCCACTTCATTCTTATAGGGTAATCCATCCTCCTACCACTACCTTTGAAAGATCCATGAATATTAGTAGGTCTAAAGGAAAAGAACCAATATTTGAAGGTGTTAGACTTTCTAGTCAAAATATTCCACATGGAATTTATCATCCTAATAATTAGGACAACGAGGTTGTATCTGATTTTGCAAAATTTGAATCAATCGCATCTAAAATAGGATTTCTAATATGAATTCACAAAAATTCAATAATAGCTTTCCAGTTCAATAATCCTAAATATAAGGAATTTCGTGATTGATATTTTAGTTCTTTTAATACAGAAGAATTGTAATACTATAAAAATCAATTTTACAATTAAATTGAATTGATTGAGGAAGTTATTCCTTTTGTTTAATGGTTTTTAATATTTTACAAAAAACCCAAAATTAGCTCATTTTAATACTGCAACGCCCCAAAATTCTCCTTAGACGGCATTACTATCTAAAACTATTCACATGATGACAACAACTAAATGAACTTCATAACTAAAGAGAATTTCATTCATCATTCATACTATATACAATATCATCCAAAAGAATATGTCAAACTATGACAATTACATCCCAAAAATTAACTATTATCTTGCAGTGGAATAACAAAAATATTAGATTTCACATTATCTCAAAATGAATTTCCTAGTCAAAAACATAAGAGAATATAACTCTACACGTCCACCTCGGGATCCACGTTCCCATCTATCGGAGCTTCCCAATGTATCGGCTCATTAACTCTGAGCTCTTCCTCTAAACCAAAATCTGAAAAAAATGTTGTTTGTAGGGGGTGAGCACTAAGCTCTGTAAGAAAATTTTTTCAAACTCGAACAAGGTTTTAAAAGTATATAAAACGGTCGGTCTCATTTTACAAATATCATATATAGCTTTTGAAGAAAAACAAGGACATTCCAATTGATCTCAAGTTTACACAATAGCAATAATTAAATGAAAAAGTAAAACCAATTCCCAAAAATAACAATTTTCAACAAGTTACCATTTTCACAATAACTAATTTCACAATAAACTAATTCCACCATAAACTCCTTTCCACAATAAATCATAATCAACTATTTGCACAATAAACAATAGCCCACAATTTATATCAAACCACAACTTGTATCTTAGGTATGATATATGACATCACGTGAATAAACACATTGAGAATATCCTATCCCACACACATAACTTAATCCTCGCATGGATATCTAACTTTAGGAAGGGCGTATACCAATGCATTGACAGTAACGAATCCAACCCGGGAATAGTATACTAACCCTCAGCCTCAGTACCAGTGAGCGAATAGTGGTTTGGTCCTCGCAAGGCACCAACTCCACTACGCGTGGTAGGAAAAATTTAAACCCGCATGGAGTAAGAAACGTATCTATCCACTCTACGATACCTGATCAACGGCCACCCATGTTCATCCAAACATCCACACAAGAGATACAATACTAACCAATTTCTCAAATCACAAGTACATCCAAAAATTCCCAAATTTCACATGTATTATTCTAATAGAACAATTTAAGAAAATATGTAAGAGATCATCAAAAATACCATTTTATTGTTCAATACAAAGCACTAGAGTTTTGAAATCAAGAACAAAAGAATATTGAGAGAAAAATTCATTTTTCTTAAAAACTACGGTTTTCAAGACAAGGATAAGAGATTTCATGGCTACTCAACCATAGCTTCCTTCAACATGTGGTAATATTTGCAAGAGCATAAATAAATAATAATTTTATACCATATATATATGATTGAGAGTCAAAACATACATATATATATGACGTGGCGTCAATGGACAAGAGTGGAAGGAAACCACTAGCTTTCTTCTTCCTTGATGTTCGTGAAAAATTAGAAGTTTTGATCCTCTTCAATGTGGAAATCCCTCTTGATCTTGTATTTTCTCCCTTATTTCTTTCTCTGTAAGCCTCTCTAGGGTTATAAATGTTGAAATAAGGCTATTAGAGGTGTTCTTAAGTATTTATAGTGGAAGAAATAGTCTCCTGTGCGCGATTCTGAAACCTAGATTTCGTAACTCACGTTCGAACGTCATTTGCTCCCAATACTTTTGTTTTTTCATCAGACAAAAGTACTAGAACGTACTATCGTTCGAACGTACTTTCACGTTCGAACGGACTCCTATTTTTGCTGAAACTTCCAATGAAGTTTTGGCCTATTTATTGGTTGATTTGGAAAATTTTCTTGAAATACACTTTTGTAGCCCTAGAAGTCTATTATCTATTGTAAAAATTTCAGCTCAAATGGACATCAGGGTAAAAAGTTATGGTCTAAATACTAAGCAGTGTCTAAAATCCTTTCTACCCAAATTTTATCTAAAATATGTTTGAACTCCAGAATACTTTCTATCTTCCAATACATACCCTATTACCTCGTCTTACATTTTTATTTCTACTCTAAAAATCTACATAGTTCA